CACTTCAAATTTACATAATTCAAAGTCCAACTAAAACTGAAACAGCATTGTGATAATCGTTAACTGGTTTCTGGTTGGCGAGAAGTATCTACTCCATCGCGAAGGCATGGTCCAGGTTTTGAAGCTTCTTTGTCTTGGTTGGCAAACCACCTGGATTGTGATCTCAGTTTTATCCTGCTCAACCTGCAGCATCTCACTGAATTTGTATGCCACCCCTCATTGAGATGATTTGTTGGGGTTGACCCCCTGCTTAGTGTTATTGTTATTGTGCTTCGAGGGGCGGTCGGGTAGCCTAGTGGTTAAAGCGTTCGCTCGTCACGCCTAAGACCCGGGTTCGATTCCCGACATGGGTACAATGTGTGAAGCCCATTTCTGGTGTCCCCCACCGTGATATTGCTGGAATATTGCTAAAAGTGGCGTATATGGGTACAAACTAACCTGAGCATGGTGATCGGTAAGACAACCGGGGATTAAGGAAGCATCTCACATATGACACAGCTAACTAGTGAATATCTCACAAAATTTAACAACACAAGTAACTGGTGAACTATATTTGCATACCCTGTACTGAATAAAAAACTTTAAAATATATATCAATGGGTGAGTGGAGATATTAATTAATTAATACAGTATGGGCTATAAAAGTAATTACAGACAAGAAACAGTACTCCATTGTGGCATGTGGGCACATATGTTGATTTTTAGTTTATTCCCAATTTTTAGAGTGGTCGGCACTTAGATTTTGATGGATACAAGTTCATGATTATGACCAGATGTCAATCTTCCATTTATTGGAAATGTTCCCAAAGAGGATGCCCAACCATCATTAACACAATAGATGACAGAGTGTTAACTGAATCATATCATCATTCTTGGTTATATATTTAACACAGACTGAGATAACCATCATATCACACACTGGGTGTTAACTGAATCATATCATCATACTTGGTTATATATTTAACACAGACTGAGATGTAACCATCAGATCACACACTGGGTGTTAACTGAATATCATCATACTTGCTGCATGTTTAACACAGATACACTGACATAACCATCAGATCACACACTGGGTGTTAACTGAATCATATCATCATTCTTGGTTATATATTTAACACAGACTGAGATAACCATCATATCACACACTGGGTGTTAACTGAATCATATCATCATTCTTGGTTATATATTTAACACAGACTGAGATAACCATCAGATCACACACTGGGTGTTAACTGAATCATATCATCATTCTTGGTTATATATTTAACACAGACTGAGATAACCATCAGATCACACACTCGATGTTAACTGAATCATATCATCATTCTTGGTTATATATTTAACACAGACTGAGATAACCATCATATCACACACTGGGTGTTAACTGAATCATATCATCATTCTTGGTTATATATTTAACACAGATTGACTGAGATAACCATCAGATCACACACTGGGTGTTAACTGAATCATATCATCATACCTGGTTCATATATTTAACACAGATCTACTGAGATAACCATCATATCACACACTGGGTGTTAACTGAATCATATCATCATTCTTGGTTATATATTTAACACAGATTGACTGAGATAACCATCAGATCACACACTCGATGTTAACTGAATCATATCATCATTCTTGGTTATATATTTAACACAGACTGAGATAACCATCATATCACACACTGGGTGTTAACTGAATCATATCATCATTCTTGGTTATATATTTAACACAGATTGACTGAGATAACCATCAGATCACACACTGGGTGTTAACTGAATCATATCATCATACCTGGTTCATATATTTAACACAGATCTACTGAGATAACCATCATATCACACACTGGGTGTTAACTGAATCATATCATCATTCTTGGTTATATATTTAACACAGATTGACTGAGATAACCATCAGATCACACACTGGGTGTTAACTGAATCATATCATCATACTTGGTTATATATTTAACACAGATGTACTGAGATAACCATCATATCACACACCGAGTGTTAACTGAATCATATCATCATACTTGGTTATATATTTAACACAGACTGAGATAACCATCATATCACACACTGGGTGTTAACTGAATCATATCATCATACTTGGTTATATATTTAACACAGATCTACTGAGATAACCATCATATCACACACTGGGTGTTAACTGAATCATATCATCATTCTTGGTTATATATTTAACACAGATTGACTGAGATAACCATCAGATCACACACTGGGTGTTAACTGAATCATATCATCATACCTGGTTATATATTTAACACAGATCTACTGAGATAACCATCATATCACACACTGGGTGTTAACTGAATCATATCATCATTCTTGGTTATATATTTAACACAGATTGACTGAGATAACCATCAGATCACACACTGGGTGTTAACTGAATCATATCATCATACTTGGTTATATATTTAACACAGATGTACTGAGATAACCATCATATCACACACCGAGTGTTAACTGAATCATATCATCATACATGGTTATATATTTAACACCGGTACCCTGAGATAACCATCATATCACACACTGGGTGTTAACTGAATCATATCATCATACCTGGTTATATATTTAACACAGATCTACTGAGATAACCATCATATCACACACTGGGTGTTAACTGAATCATATCATCATTCTTGGTTATATATTTAACACAGATTGACTGAGATAACCATCAGATCACACACTGGGTGTTAACTGAATCATATCATCATACTTGGTTATATATTTAACACAGATGTACTGAGATAACCATCATATCACACACCGAGTGTTAACTGAATCATATCATCATACATGGTTATATATTTAACACAGATGTACTGAGATAACCATCATATCACACACTGGGTGTTAACTGAATCATATCATCATACTTGGTTATATATTTAACACAGACTGAGATAAATATCAGATCACACACTGGGTGTTAACTGAATCATGTCATCATACTTGGTTATATATTTAACACAGATGTACTGAGATAACCATCAGATCACACCGAGTGTTAACTGAATCATATCATCATATTTGGTTATATATTTAACACAGACTTGGTTATATATTTAACACAGATACACTGAGATAACCATCAGATCACACACTGGGTGTTAACTGAATCATGTCATCATACTTGGTTATATATTTAACACAGACTGAGATAACCATCAGATCACACACTGGGTGTTAACTGAATCATATCATCATTCTTGGTTATATATTTAACACAGACTGAGATAACCATCATATCACATACTGGGTGTTAACTGAATCACATCATCATTCTTGGTTATATATTTAACACAGATGTACTGAGATAACCATCAGATCACACACCGAGTGTTAACTGAATCATATCATCACATATGGTTATATATTTAACACAGACTGAGATAACCATCAGATCACACACCGAGTGTTAACTGAATCATATCATCACATATGGTTATATATTTAACACAGACTGAGATAACCATCATATCACACACCGAGTGTTAACTGAATCATATCATCATACTTGGTTATATATTTAACACAGACTGAGTTAACCATCATATCACACACTGGGTGTTAACTGAATCATGTCATCATACTTGGTTATATATTTAACACAGACTGAGATAACCATCATATCACACACTGGGTGTTAACTGAATCATGTCATTATACTTGGTTATATATTTAACACAGACTGCGATAACCATCATATCACACACTGGGTGTTAACTGAATCATATCATCATACTTGGTAATATATTTAACACAGATACACTGAGATAACCATCAGATCACACACTGGTTGTTAACTGAATCATATCATCATTCTTGGTTATATATTTAACACAGACTGAGATGTAACCATCAGATCACACACTGGGTGTTAACTGAATCATATCATCAAACTTGGTTATATATTTAGCACAGATACACTGAGATAACCATCATATCACACACCGAGTGTTAACTGAATCATATCATCATTCTTGGTAATATATTTAACACAGATACACTGAGATAACCATCATATCATACACTGGGTGTTAACTGAATCATATCATCAAACTTGGTTATATATTTAACACAGACTGAGATAACCATCATATCACACACCGAGTGTTAACTGAATCATATCATCATACATGGTTATATATTTAACACCAATACCCTGAGATAACCATCAGATCACACACTGGGTGTTAACTGAATCATATCATCATACTTGGTTATATATTTAACACAGACTGAGATAACCATCATATCACACACCGAGTGTTAACTGAATCATATCATCATACATGGTTATATATTTAACACCAATACCCTGAGATAACCATCAGATCACACACTGGGTGTTAACTGAATCATATCATCATACTTGGTTATATATTTAACACAGACTGAGATAACCATCAGATCACACACTGGGTGTTAACTGAATCATATCATCATACTTGGTTATATATTTAACACAGACTGAGATAACCATCAGATCACACACTGGGTGTTAACTGAATCATATCATCATACTTGGTTATATATTTAACACCGGTACACTGAGAAACCATCAGATCACACACTGGGTGTTAACTGAATCATGTCATCATACTTGGTTATATATTTAACACAGATTGACTGAGATAACCATCAGATCACACACTGGGTGTTAACTGAATATCATCATACTTGCTACATGTTTAACACATGAATGCACAAAGACCCAGCCCAAGTTGGCCCAGAGCAGGATCCATATCAACATGAAGATGCAGGGTTGAGTGTTGACTCACCTGTCAGGCCCATTACCAGGATTCCCAGGAAATACAGAGAATGGGACATTATGACTTACAAGATGACTAGGCACTTCAGCTGTCATCTCAAAATATGGTCTTGATCCCAAAACCAACTAAGCCTTCAAAATGTGAACACCTGTTGAATAAATAAATCTAGAAGTTTACTCACAGTTCTGCAAAGAGCATGATTTTATGCCGTTCTTCCTCTAGAGACGTCCTCACAGCTTACCAAGAGTGCATCACTTCACCAATATTTACACAGCACTACTGCCGAGAATCCAGACAAAATGTCAATCACCAGACTCCGATATTCAAGTGTCTCCTCTCTGTCAATGTTACAGAATCCTATTTAATAAAGCACATGAGTAATATAAAACTCACTGATCGACCCAGGAAATGCGCTATGTGTTAATAAGGCTGTATGACGACGCGGCCAGCGCACTGCCGTGCGGCTCTGCTTCAGTAACTCTGCCACAATCTCTCATTATGGTTATCAAATCCATGGACGCCTGGAATTACAGGTTGGATATAGGCCACAATGCAATTAGGTGTTTTTTCATCACGACATTACATGCAAATGACTCGTGTTATGGTGCTGAAATACCACATCTACCAAACAGCTGCAAGGCAGGAGACACTTCAGATACAGCACCTAATCTAACAGGACAAATTTCATCAAATTCATGTATTTTGGTAAACAAGACCTGACATTGTGTTACACGGAATGGAAGCAACAGCTGGTGGCCGTAAAGAGGATATAGTGTAGGTAGCAGCCATGTGGAACTTTGATATACACCAGGCAGGATATATCGTCTAGAGAATACAGCCTTATATGGATGGCAGCTCACTGTCAGCAACAGAGGGACTGAGAGTGACAGACAGATATTTGGATACAGAGAGGCGGCAGGGAATTACTCGCTCATTGGCACTCTTAGAACAGTAATACATACTCTGAGTATTACATCCAAGCGAAGGAGGTAGTGGATTTAATGTCGTCAAGATATAATTAATATGGGATAGATTCACTTACGAAACTCCATCAATCTGGGAGAGGCACAGTGCTGGAGGATAATGCCAGTTTACTGCATACTGGGACACAGTCTATCAACACAACGGATTGACCAATGTTCTGACGTGATGCATATCCACTGTTTCGACACAGTGTGTTCACTGAATGTATAAACACAATGAATATTGACATTATAAATAGACACAATGCGTGAATTGTCTCAAAATATTAACAATGTATCATAACTACAGATCACCCCTGATGTATGGATACAAAGTATTGACACAATGTGTTGACCAAATACATCAATATGATCTGTCAACAGAGTGTCTCAACACAATGGATCAAATAAAGGATCACCACAATGTAAAAAACAATGTAGTAACATAATCTGTCAACACGATGTAGTGACACAATCTGTCAACACGATGTAGTAACATAATCTATCAACACGATGTAGTAACATAATCTATCAACACAATGTAGAGACACAATCTATCAACACGATGTAGTGATACAATTTATCAACACGATGTAGAGACACAATCTATCAACACGATGTAGTGACACAATCTATCAACACGATGTAGTGACAATCTATCAACACGATGTAGTGACAATCTATCAACATGATGTAGAGACACAATCTATCAACACGATGTAGTGACACAATCTATAAACACGATGTAGAGACACAATCTATCAACACGATGTAGAGACACAATCTATCAACACAATGTAGTGACAATCTATCAACACGATGAAGAGACACAATCTATCAACACGATGTAGTAACATAATCTATCAACACGATGTAGTGACACAATCTATCAACACAATGTAGTGACACAATTTATCAACACGATGTAGAGACACAATCTATCAACACAATGTAGTGACACAATCTATCAACACGATGTAGTGACAATCTATCAACACGATGTAGTGACACAATCTATCAACACGATGTAGTGACACAATTTATCAACACGATGTAGAGACACAATCTATCAACACGATGTAGTGACACAATTTATCAACACGATGTAGAGACACAATCTATCAACACAATGTAGAGACACAATCTATCAACACGATGTAGTGACAATCTATCAACACGATGTAGTGACAATCTATCAACACGATGTAGTGACACAATTTATCAACACGATGTAGAGACACAATCTATCAACATGATGTAGTGACAATCTATCAACACAATGTAGAGACACAATCTATCAACACGATGTAGTGACAATCTATCAACACGATGTAGTGACACAATCTATCAACACGATGTAGTGACACAATTTATCAACACGATGTAGAGACACAATCTTTAACATGATGTAGTGACAATCTATCAACACAATGTAGAGACACAATCTATCAACACGATGTAGTGACAATCTATCAACACGATGTAGTGACACAATCTATCAACACGATGTAGAGACATAATCTATCAACACGATGTAGTGACAATCTATCAACACGATGTAGTGACAATCTATCACCTCGATGTAGAGACACAATCTATCAACACAATGTAGTGACAATCTATGAACATGATGTAGTGACAATCTATCAACACGATGTAGAGACACAATCTATCAACACGATGTAGAGACACAATGTATCAACACAATGTAGTGACACAATATATCAACACGATGTAGTGACATCGATTATTTACAGATCGCCGTCATATAGCTGGAATATTGCTGAGTGCGGTGTATAACAACAAACCAACCAACCAACCAACCACAATACAAGAGGTGGGTATGTCTATCTAACAATGCAGGTAGTGGGTGTGTCTATCTCACAATGCAGGTAGTGGGTGTGTCTATCTTACAATACAGGTAGCGGGTGTGTCTATCCCACAATACAGGTAGTAGGTGTGTCTATCTTACAATACAGGTAGTGGGTGTGTCTTTCTTACAATACAGGTTGTTGTGGTGGGTGTGTCTATCTCACAATACAGGTAATGGGTGTGTCTATCTCACAATACAGGTAGCAGGTTTGTCTATCTCACAATACAGGTTGCGGATGTGTCTATCCCACAATACAGGTAGCAGGTTTGTCTATCTCACAATACAGGTAGTAGGTGTGTCTATCCCACAATACAGGTAGCAGGTTTGTCTATCCCACAATACAGGTAGTAGGTGTGTCTCTCCCACAATACAGGTAGTAGGTGTGTCTCTCTCACAATACAGGTAGTAGGTGTGTCTATCTCACAATGCAGATGGTTGTGGTGGGTGTGTCTATCTTACAATGCAGGAAGTGGGTGTGTCTATCTTACAATACAGGAGGTGGTTGTGTCTATCTCACAATGCAGATGGTTGTGGTGGGTGTGTCTATCTTACAATGCAGGTAGTGAGTGTGTCTATCTTACAATGCAGGAAGTGGGTGTGTCTATCCCACAATACAGGTAGTGGGTGTGTCTATCTTACAATACAGGTAGTGGGTGTGTCTATCTCACAATACAGGTTGCGGGTGTCTCTATCCCACAATACAGGTAGTGGGTGTGTCTATCTTACAATACAGGTAGCGGGTGTGTCTATCCCACAATACAGGTAGTAGGTGTGTCTATCTTACAATACAGGTAGTGGGTCTGTCTATCTCAAAAGTGGGCTTGTCTATCCCACAATACAGGTAGCCGTTGTGTCTATCCCACAATACAGGTAGTAGGTGTGTCTATCCCACAATACAGGTAGCGGGTGTGTCTATCTTACAATACTGGTAGTGGGTGTGTCTCTCTCACAATACAGGTAGTAGGTGTGTCTATCTTACAATACAGGAGGTGCTTGTGTCTATCTTACAATACAGGTAGTGGGTGTGTCTATCTCACAATACAGGTAGTTGGTGTGTCTATCCCACAATACAGGTAGTAGGTGTGTCTATCTCACAATACAGGTAGTGAGTCTGTCTATCCCACAATACAGGTAGTGAGTCTGTCTATCTCACAATACAGGAGGTGCTTGTGTCTATCTTACAATACAGGTAATGGGTGTGTCTATCTCACAATACAGGTAGTGGGTCTGTCTATCTTACAATACAGGTTGCGGGTGTGTCTATCTTACAATACAGGTAGTGGATGTGTCTATCTCACAATACAGGTTGCGGGTGTGTTTATCTTACAATACAGGTAGTGGATGTGTCTATCTCACAATACAGGTTGCGGGTGTGTCTATCTTACAATACAGGTAGTGGATGTGTCTATCTCACAATACAGGTTGCGGGTGTGTCTATCTTACAATACAGGTAGTGGATGTGTCTATCTCACAATACAGGTTGTGGGTGTGTCTATCCCACAATACAGGTAGTAGGTGTGTCTATCCCACAATACAGGTAGTGAGTCTGTCTATCCCACAATACAGGTAGTGAGTCTGTCTATCTCACAATACAGGAAGTAGGTGTGTCTATCTCACAATACAGGTGGTTGTGGTGGGTGTGTCCATCTCACAATACAGGTAGTGGGTGTGTCTATCTTACAATACAGGTAGTAGGTGTGTCTTTCTTACAATACAGGAGGTGAGTGTGTCTATCTTACAATACAGGTAGTGGGTGTGTCTATCTTACAATACAGGTGGTTGTGGTGGGTGTGTCTATCTCACAATACAGGTAGTGGGTGTGTCTATCTCACAATACAGGTAGTGAGTGTGTCTATCTCACAATACAGGAGTTGAGTGTGTCTATCTCACAATACAGGTAGTGAGTCTGTCTGTCTCACAATGCAGGGAGTTGGTCTGTCTATCTCACCATACAGGTTGTTGTGGTGGGTGTGTCTATCTCACCATACAGGTTGTTGTAGTGGATTTGTCTATCTCACAATACAGGTAGTCGGTGTGTCTATCTCACCATACAGGTAGTTGTAGTGGGTGTGTCTATCTCACCATACAGGTTGTTGTAGTGGATTTGTCTATCTCACAATACAGGTAGTGGGTCTGTCTATCTCACAATACAGGTTGTTGTGGTGGGTGTGTCTATCTCACAATACAGGTAGTCGGTGTGTCTGTCTCACAATGTCCATAGTCAGTCCATTGTGATCTTTTACGTTTTCTACATCTCCTTAGAAGCAACATGACCCATGAAGGTGAATGGAAGATCCAGGGTCTATAAATGCATCAGTGTGGCTGTCACAAGCACCTTGTCCTCTACATGGACAGTCGTACATGTACCAACAGGACAGAACATGTGAGGATGTCTGTTCTAAACTTCTCTTATTTCTTTTGAGTGAATGAGTGAGTGAGTAAGTACCACCTTCTGTGCCTTCTGTGTGTTGTGCATATTGGTTGCCCTGGAAACAGAAATAGATGAAAATGTCCAGAGCAACAATGCAAAAGAATGATTCTAAAGAGTTGCCTGCAACAGGTTTCTGTCCTGAATGTCATTAATGCCATGACCAAATATGGCAACAGGTGTGACACGGAACTGCTGAATGATATTGATTGAAGCTGAACCTACCCAGAAACGTGCATCAATTGAAATAAAAACATCCTTTAGCTTTCAAATATTCAATAAATTCAGTATTTTTATATCTTCCATATTTAACGAAATCTGTCACTGCACAGCCCTTCCATACTAAATTATCAAAATGTTAAAAATGAAGCCAAAATTATCAAAATTCCAAACCTATATATATAGTGTAGGACTAAACATCCTCGATTTCCGTAAGTAATAAAAAATATTAAACAATGTGATATCTATCTAATAATTCAACATTTGGTCGTATCAGTAATAATGTACACTTAGATGTCAATGACACATAATGTACACAGATACAATAACACTTTCCAGACAACCAATAAACAGCACTT